ACCGGCGCGCTCACCGCCCCGCAGACAAATCACCGGGTGACAAATCGCTCTCAGATGCAAATACCTCGCCAGTGATTCAGCGCCGCGGCCCGGGACGCGGGGAGGGGTCTCACGAGGCCCCCTCCCCCTTCCCGGACGCCCCCTCGCCCCCCGCGCTTGGTCCGACGACACACGACCAGCCCAGGGGATGTTAGGGGGGGGAAGAGTGGACGGAAATTTTTCTGGTCGCGGCCCCTTTAAGTGATAATAAATAATAAAAGGGAAGGGGAACAGCAACGCGGGAAGCCCCGCCCTCTGGCTAGGGACAGTGGGCAAAGTGCGCGCCGCTGCCCAGAGCGCACAGCGCTCAGAGAACGCGGGCGGGGGTGGGATCGCCCCAGGGGGAGGGGGAGGAGATCGAGCCTCCGCCCGAGAGGCTGGGGGCTACCCGAGCCGATCCTGGACCCCCTCCCCATCTTACTGAGCACCTAGGATGGACCTACCAGGCTCAGAGTTTCACCCTTGTCCCTTAGACTGAGCGACCCAGCGCGAGTGACTTCACCCTCCGGATCCGAGCCTTGGTTTCCAGGTCTGTAAAATGGGGATTAGAGACCTGAGGAGGAAATGAGCCACAGTGACCAGAAACGAGAGTGGGCGGGGCCGGAGGGAGGAGCCAGGGCCCAGCGAGGGGCCACCGCTCGGTGGGGAGGGGTCTCAGAGACCCAGCGGCTGCTGGTCGCGGCACGCGGCTCCGACAAAGGCGCGGGGTGGAGGTGCGCGTGCCGGGTCCCCGGGGGGACTCGTCGCGAAATCGAGACGACCCCTACCCCCGACGGTCACCGCTTCTTGGGATCCTGGCAAGACACCCAACTAGGAGGAGACACGAGATTCTCTTCTCAGTAATAATTTCGCAATTTACATATTCTGAGCGCTCGGGTTCCTTGCCATGTGCCCACGGCAGGGTTCACCCCTCCCTAGCCTGTGTAGTGGAGACTATAAATGTCTCCATTTAGAAGAGCCAGAAACTGAGGCACAGAGTTGGCTGGGGGGAAGGTGGGGTAGGGGTGTGGGCTCAGCCAGGTCTGAACCCCAGAGGCGACCCCTGAGCGGGTCCAGGTTTCAGCCCAGATAGGAGCCAAGTAGAAGCGTGGGGGGAAGGCGGGGGCCACCTAGAGGCCTTCACTTCTCGAGGTTCCAGACCCTTGGTCTTGAGTGTTGTGGGGCGGGGGAAGGGGTCGTGTGCACATAGCATTGCCATCTTCTGGGTCCTCCCCCCTTATCGCCCCCTCAATTGCAGACCCGCTGTCCTGGGCAGTCCCAAGCCCCGTGGACGGGTTGAGGGAGCTGTTCCCCCACCCCAGGGCCCGAGTCTTGCCCTCCCCTTGTGGGAACCCAGCCTCTGGCCCCAGGGCGGCCTGAAGAGCTTAATGGCAGCAGGTGGCAGGAGGCCTCTACCTTTAGGCAGTTAAACACCCAGCCCCCGCCCACCCCCAGGGCGGAGCCCAGGCGGCTGTCTGGAGTGGGGAGTTTAGAGACCCCGATGAGAATGGGTAGAAACCCCCCATGAAGAGCCAGGCCCAGCTCAGTCTCCAAAGGGCAGGGAAGCCTGCTCCCCACCCCCAAAGAGCCAAACAGATCAGACTGCACCCCGGGCAGGTGCCTGGGCCTCCCTGGGCCTCGATTTCCCCCTCTGTGGAATGGGTCAGTGTTGATGCATGCCTCGCACAGTAGGCTTGAGGACTATGTTTTCCTGTTATAAGGGATGGGGGCAGGGCGGGGTCTCCTGACAGCAGGAGGGGACGGCTAGGTAGCTGGAAGCGGCTGCTCAGGAGGGTGAGGCCTTGCAGGACTCCCAGTGGCCTCCAGTCGGAGGTCCTAGTTTTAGTCGAGGGAGGGGGCTGGGAAGTGACCCACAGTCCCTGTCTCTGCTCGAGGCCGAGGCCGGAGGCAGACCCAGGGGCCCCTGGGTCCTGGCGGTGTGGCCTTAGGTTAGTGCAGACCCCTCTCTGGCTCTGTCTCTCGGGCTGGGAATGGGGCGCAGCAACTCCGGGCTAGACCATCTCGTGGGGCCTCCGTGGGTTTTGGACAGCTCCCTCCAAAAAAACCCAGCCAAGTCCTCACCTAGCCCAGCAACCACCCCCACACCACCCTGTTTTATCTTCCGGAGCTTCTGTTCACAATAGCCATGCTGATTGAACCTACTAAGCCTGGCCGGCCACCTGCCTGCAGCCCTGAGGCCGTGCCTGGCACGTAGTAGGTGCTCAATACTCGGTTGAATGAGTGGATTTTTGTGTTCCCCAACTTCCTCCCTCACCCCACGGGATTTTTGGCGTCTGTCTTTGCGGAGGTGGAAGGCAAATCGAACTAATCACTGTCTCCATCTCAAAAAGAAAAAATGCCTGGAGGGTGGTGCAGGGCCCCAGGTGAGGAAAGCCCCACCCCTGACCTGTCCTCACTCACACCTGGCCTCGGGTTGCCTTGTCCCTGTGAACGGGGGCCCACAAACGTGTAACTTTATTTCCCTTAAAATAAGAAAAAGGCGAATGTAATACGTGACAGTGAATCCCAGCTAAGTTATATTCGTCCCTATGCCAACGCAGGTGTAAAATACACTTTTTAAACTATTTTTTCATAGAAGGTGCCCACGAGACAAAACTGCCTAAGACCCGGGTAATGAATAGTGCGGTTCCGCTTGACTCATTTCGCAGCGGGGAAACGTTCAGCGGGGGGTCCAGGTCGGGGTACACGTGAGTGACCCCCCCTAGGCGCTGCGGGCTCCTTTGTGGGGCGGAACCAGGGAGGCGAGGGATTTCTGCGGGGTGCGTGCGCCACCTGCCGGGGACCTACGGGGCTGCAGCCTGGGGAGCGAGACCAGCGACGTCGCGCTGTGGCCTCCGCCGGAGGCCGCTAGGCTGGCGCCCTCACCTGAAAAGGAGTTTGCGGGTCAGAAGGGGAAACTGAGGTTCACGGAGGCGTTTTTTTATCCTCTGTGGTGCCTTCTAATGCTCCACCGTGGAGTTGCTAGACAAAACACAGGAATCGCAGTTAAATTTGAACAATTCAGATGAACAAAGAATAATTTTATGTATATCACAAATATTGCATGAGATGTACTAAAAATTTTTTCATAGTTTAACTGAAATGAAACCCACGCAGACCCCTGGGGCTTAACCCCACATCGTGGCCCTGAGGCCCATCGCCACCCCCTTCTAGATGGACTGTTCTGGCCTATGCCTGGTCTTGCCTGAGTGGTGGGGGGTCGTGTGCATTCCCCACTCCCACCCCTAAGGTATACAGCATTGCTATCTTTTCGGGGCCTCCCCCACATTGCATACCCGCTGTCTCAGGTAATCTCAAGCCCAGAGGAGTGGAGAGACTTGCCCCCACCCCAGAACCCGAGTCCAGCCCACCCCTTACAGGAACCCAGCCTCCAGCCCTGAAGAGCCCCCACCCCACCAAAGAGCTAACCAGGATAGAATGTGTCCCCTCCCACAACTGCACTGGCCTCCCGTGCCTCAGTTTCTCCCTCTGGAGAATGGGCCCATAGCAATGCATCCCTCACACAGTAGTTCTGAGACTACATTATTCTCTGTTGTAAGGGAAGGGGGCAAGGTGGGGTCCCTTCATTCACCCCCTCCGGCCCCACCTTCCTCTTAGCAATTTCTCAAACCCACCAGATGTATCCTGCCTCAGGGCCTTTGCATCGACCGCGCCCCTCATCAGGTGTGCTCTTCTCCCTCCTCTGAGCTCAATTCACACTTCCCAGACTCACCTCCTCCAGGGAGCTTTCCTGGGCTCACCCCGCCAAGGTCAAGTTTCCAGTCATTCACAACAGACACACGTTTCCTTCATAACCCTTTTCACTGCCATCACGTTGCATGTCTCACTCTAGCTTTCCACTGACTGGCCCGGCCGCCCACAGACAGGGGCTCCCTATGGGTGGGGCTGCCTCATCCCTGCTGTGGCCCCAGCCCCCAGCACACAGAAAGGGCTCTGTAAACAGTGTCCAGCTGGATGGATGTGAAGGTAAACAGAAAGGGCACACCCCACATCTGCAGTTTTGAAAGAATTCTTCTTCCCGAATGTCTCTTTCAACCCTTTAACTTCATTTTTTTTTTTTTTTTTTTTTTGCTTTTTGTTTCAGGCCGATCGTAGATTTTAATGCAGCGAGCTCCCTCACACCCTCACCAGGCTTCCCCGAGTAACAGTTTGCAAAACCGCAGCACAGTATCGCAATCAGGATATTGACAGTAATGCAACCCTCCCGTCCTATTTGGTTTCCCCATTTTACTTGGACCAGTGTGTGTGTGTTTGTTCTCTACAATTTTATCGCCTGTGTCACTTTGCGTAGTCACTGCCGCAGTCCAGGGACAGACCTGTTCCGTCACATGGGTCCTGCATGTCCCCGTTCACCTTTCCCCGCTCGCCATCATCCCTCGCCCCGGCGGCCACTAATCTGTCCTCCATTTGGTGACTTTGCCACCTCGAGGATGTTAAATCACACACCACGAACGAACCTCTGGGGCTGCCCCACTGTGCGCACCGTGTTGCTTGTACCCACTGTGTGCCCGCCACTTTTTCACACTGGGTCGCAGTCCGGGTGTGGGCTGGACCACGGTTGGTCTGTTTTCCCACCCTCGGGTAGGGACGTGCAGCCCCACCCACCAGAAGATGGGGTCCCTTCCCCCCACCGGGACTCTGGGTGAGACTGTCACAGCTGGGTGTGGAAAAGTGACATTCTGGGACTTCTGAGCCCAGGACTCAGAAGGCGTGCAGTTTCTGCCTCTTCTCCGAAGTTTCTGGCCAGAAACGTCCGACCTTCCCGGGCGCCATGCAGGAAGGGAGCCCAAGGCCACAGGAGCGAAGCCCTCGCCCGCCTTCCTGGTCCAGCCAACACCGCACGGTCACGGCACTGGGTGGCTGAGCCACGTCACCCCACAGAATCCTGAGAGACGACAAACGATGCCGTTCTAAGCCCCTCGGTGTTGGGGTGGTTTGTCACCGATCGGTCCTTCTTGCCGGCAGCCTGTGCACTGTGCCCCCACCCCCGGGAGGTTTTCCTTAGTGACACTGGCGTGGGGATTCACCAGGCGGCAGCAATGTCACCTTGTGTCGGTCGATTTTAAGATACACAACGTGTTCACGTTTTAATGTCGCTGACAATGGGACGAAGCCTACACTCGTACAGTCAACCTGAAGGCAGTGTGTAAAACGTCTACTGATGCTTCCTGGAAAGTTCCACAAGGTGCCAGCATCAAGCACCTTCGATTTTAGGAAAGGCAGAAATAATCATCACAATAGCAAAACAGCAAACATCACAGCCAGCTCGTACCAAACGTTACAAGAGGACGAAACGTGTCCCATGGGATTATTTGGGACAAAACCGAAGATGTTAATAACAATAATAGCAGCGCCCGTTCCCGAGGGGCCACCTCCGTCCTCAGAGAGGGGCAGCGAGTTTCCCCAGGATGCACAGCCTGCGCGGCCCGCTCCCACTGCTCCCGGGCTGCCGCATACTGAGGCCTGGGAGAGGAGCCAGGGGGTGCAGCTCCGCGCGGGGGACGGCGGGGCGCGAGGGCCCAGGTGGCCGGGGAGCGCAGGGGCAGACGCGGCGGAAGGCCCGGCGGAAGTGCGAGCCCATGAACGCGTAGAGTAGCGGGTTCAGCGCCGAGTTGCTGTAGGACATGCAGTGCGCCCAGGTCTTGAGCGCGTAGGCCGCGTGGCTGCGCGGGTGCCAGGAGCCCGCCGGGCCCAGCGCCTGCAGCACCAGGAACAGCTGGATGGGGCCCCAGCAGGCGGCGAAGAGCAGGACCACGGCCGCCACCAGCCGTGACACCTTGGTTCGCACAGCGCAGGCTCGCTCCGCCAGCCGCTGCCCCTGGGGTTGGGGGGGGAGGAGGACAGGCTGTGCCCCCCATTCAGACCCCCACTGTGCCTCACCCCACCCCAGCCCGGCTGCGGCCCCCGCCCACCCAGCGGCGCACCTGCAGGGCGCCGTCTGCGGGCGCGGGGCGCACAGCTGCGCGGCTCAGGTGGCGCAGCATGGCCCCGTAGCAGGCACAGGTGGCGACCAGCGGCAGCAGGTAGAGCGCCAGCAGGTTGTAGAGAGCGAAGGCGCGCTCCAGGGCGCGGCTGGGGAAGACCTCGCTGCAGTAGGTGCGCGGCCCCGGGGTGAGGCGGTGCAGGGCGAGCACAGGCGCAGACAGGGCCGCGGAGCCTGCAGCACAGGCGCGGCTGAGATGCTGGCCGGGGACCAGGGGCGCGAAGAGCCAGGGCCCAGGTCTCCTCGGTGCCTCCCCAGTCCGCGCCCTCAGTGCTTCTGCGCAAGGAGCGCAATTGCGCCCATTTCCCAGAGAGGGGCAGTGAGTGGGAGGGCGCCCGGGGCACGAAGACTCGTCCCCCACTCACCCAGCCAGATGCCCAGGCTGACGGCCAAGGCCCGGCGGGGCGTCCGGCGGCGTAGGGCGCGCAGCGGGAACACAGTCACGTACCAGCGGTCCACGCTCATGGCGGTCAGGGTGGCGCACGTAGCCTGCACAGACACCTGGAAGGGCCGGGAGCTGGGCGCGTGCCCCACCCTCTCCGGGTCTGGGGCCTGCTCTGTCTGCGCCCCGACCCCCGCGGGTCTCCCCGCATGTCCAGCCACTCAGGCACACGCTGGACGTGTCCTGGGAGAGCCTCCGCGGGCCAGGAGTGGAGCTCAGAATGGCGAGGGTTAGAGGGGACCATTTGGGGTTCGCTTGAGACCCTGAAACTGAGACGGGGAGAGGCAGAGCCATCCTAGGACCCCAGGAAGGGTGGACAAGAACCCAGATCGCCCTCCCCGTGCCCACGCTCCACCCTGTCCCCGCCCCCCCAACCCAGCGGTCCAGCCGGCCACATCCAGACTCCGCCCCCCCCAGCCCGCCACCCACCTGCTGAATGTAGTTGACGAACTTGCACATGAAGTCGCCCAGCACCCAGGAGGGCAGCGGGTAGAGCAGGGCGGTGAAGGGCACACAGCACAGCAGGAAGGTCACGTCCGTGGCCGCCAGGTTGGCTGCAGGCGGGGATGCGAGGGCGCTGGCCGTGGGGCGTAGAGGCCTCAGCCACCCAGCGCTCCTGGCCCGGATCCCTCGCCCTGGCCTTTGTCATCCGGAAGGCCCCCTACAGCCTTGGTTCTCCCCTTTAACATTTCAGACACCCCTTCATCCCGCAGGGCCCTCAGCCACTCAAGCTTCAGTGGGCCCTGTTCACCCCTGCCTGGGCTGGGGGAGCCTGAGCGGGCCCCGCCCCGCTGAGTCTCAGTTTCCTCACCTGCACATTAGAGGTCGTGGTGCCAGCCCAACGGCCACCGTGGCATGGAGAGCACCAACGGAGCACTCACCTGCGCGGGTAGGCCGCCCCGCCGCCCAAATGTGCAAAGCGAGACCCTGGGGCAGACGTCGCAAACTGGGGGCCCGCGGGCCCACCCGTCTCTCCCCGACTGCGTCTCTTCATCAGACACCGCGTGAAAGGAAGCGCATTTCAATGGAACATCTTCCTCCAGCGGCGGGGGCGAGCCCTCCGTGCGCCACACTCTCACGCTCCCTTTGAACTATTCCAGTCCGCATGGAAGCCGCTAATGGCGTTTGCGACT